ACATACTAAAAGGTGAATACCGCATATAAATATCTATCTTTATTTCAGAGTTACAAGGTGTTTTTCGAAAATGTAAGTTTTTGAAAAGTGGCTAAAACTCTTTTTTTTTGGCAAAAATTCTTCGTTTTCATGAAAACATTCTGAAAGCATTGTGTTTGTCAAGAAAATTGATCCTCAGTCACCGTATACCTAGTTGCAAAATAGAACTTGTTTTTCAAGATGAACAAGTTATATTCCTGAACTAGATATAAGAAGGCCGATTTCAGTAGCTCGAGAAAAATTTTTATCACAAACTCAATGCTTTGCAGTTATTATCATAAGAACAGAACAATTTTTGTCAAAAAAATATCAGTAGTCACTTTTCAAAAATACCTTGTTACTCCGAAACGAAGACAGATATCGATATGCGGATTCCACCATTCAGTTTTTCATGAGAATCGACCCTCAGGCACCGACATCAGTTTTCTTCAATCTGTTTCGAGCATAGGACTTTCCCTTTAAAAGTGTCCAATTTGACCCACCCTGTACAACAACTTTTTGCATTCATTCTTTTGCACCCTGTATATGCCTTCTGGACTCAGTAGTATTTTTTGTGTTCGTGTCTGGAATACTCGTTCAAGGTTGAGCTGATCCAGATTCTCGAATCCAACGACCATTTGAATACAAAACATGTAAATAACTCGGTCTAAGAGATTACGTGCAAGAAAAGGGCGGACGGACCACGTTTGTTAGCCTTTTGGGATTTGCCAAACGAATGAGAAAGTACAGTGTGTCCGGTTTTCGATGCTTTTGCGTGATATCTCAGTTATCTTTAGAGATAGAACCTTGCGGTTTTCGCGGTCCTGTACCTCTTTTTTGTGAAACTCCAGATGGCCTAATCAGATTTTGCATAACTGTTTGCGTTTATGAGAAACAGGGCGATTTGGAAAATTTATACTTTTTGGACCCCCTCTTTATCTATGAAGTTTCTCAGCGAAAATGTCAAATTGAAATCTTGACCCATAGAAAATTTTATGCAGAATCCAGTAGCGTACATTTTTTTTTTTTTTTCGGGGAATGGTTTTGGAGATACGACTCAAACTTATGAATTTTTAAATGCAACACCCTGTATTTCATAAGCTCAATAAATTCCTGATTTTTTTCGTCTTCAGGATGATATATGATGAATGATAATAAAATTTCCAAAATTGCTCAAAATCACTAAAATATTGAATTTTGATAGTGGGCTATGGGTTTTTCGAGGGATTTTCATATAAAGAAATTTACAACTGAAGGGATATTTCCTTTCATTGTTCCATGAAGGAGGGAAAAACAATTCCAACACTAATTAACTTGCAAAACACAAGACTAAGATAAATGATATCCACAAATATATAGTGATAGAAAGTTTATAATGTAGAATAAGCAAGTACCTGATTGGATATTTACTAAAACAATTGAATTTCGAAATTATTCAGTGTTTTATTCATTGAATTGTTCAAATTGATGTCCATTTTTCATCACAAACTTTCTCAATACATATTAATCATTGAATGATGTCTTTGTTATTCCTGGAAAACGGCCTCTGTTGTTGCACAAAGTTCTTCAAGTATGTTAGGGCCACTCACTGTATTGAGAAGTATTGAGAAAGTTTGTCAACTGTATGTTAGGGAAAATGGACATCAATTTGAACATGTCAATGAATAAGTTACTGAATAATTCCGGAATTCAATTGTTTTAGTAAATATTTAATCAGGTGCTTTTTCTACATCATGAACTTTTTATTACTATTTATTTGTTGCTATCAGGTACCCAAGTTTATTGTTTTGTTAATTAATAAGTGTTGATATTGACTTTGACCTCTCTATGAAAAAATTCAAAGAAATATTTCTTCTTGAGTTACCATGGACTTCTTCCAAAGATTAAATAGTTCTTCAATTGGAACGTTTTTTATAAGAAAAATCCATAACCAACTATCAAAATTCAATATTTTAGTGATTTTGAGCAATTTTGAAAATTTTATTATCATTCATCATATATCATTTTGAAGACAAAAAAATTAGGAATTTATTGAGCTTATGAAATACAGGGTGTTTCGTTTAAAAATTCATAAGTTTGAGTCGTATCTCCAAAACCATACCCCGAAAAAAAAAATGTGAGTGCGCCACTGGATTATGCGTGAAATTCTCTATGCGATGAGATTTTGATTTGACATTTTGAAACTTCGTAGATATAGAGAGGGTCCAAAAAGTATAAATTTTCAAAATCGCCCTGTATCTCATAAACGGTAACAGTCTTGCAAAATCTGATCAAGCCATCATGAGTTTCACGAAAAAGTGGCACTGGACCGTGAAAACCGCAAGGTTCTATCTCCAAAGATAACTGAGATATCACGCAAGAGCATCGAAAACTGGACACACTGTACATAAAGACTGATGGATCCCCTAAAATATTCAGGATCACTCGACAAATAGGCCGAATTTCTATCTCCTCTTGTATTCCATCGATAACCCAGATATGGAATAAATGAGCTTATGCCTCGTGGAACGAAAATATGGGCCCCGAAAATAATTAGAAGTCAAAATGAGCCACCTGTTCCCTTCAGATTCAGGAATGTCTCTCAGTTTCCATTTGCTCCACCTGAGATGCTTATTGCTTTGAAATATTGAAATATAAATAGCGAGTCGTTAAAAAAAAGCATCGTCGAAAATATGACAGGAGCCAACTTAATTACCTGTGGACTGTTTGTTACTTTAGGAAAATGATCTTTAAAAATATTAGGAAAAAACTGACGAAGAATAATTGAAAACGTAACACATCATATCAGCATCTCTGCGCCATCCTTCCTTTTTTTCATCTCTTGGAGCGTACGAAAGGAAATTCCGTTAATGTTCGAAGAACTTCGTGCGTACCTATAGGGTAGGATAGGGAGAGGAGATAGGTTTTGGATTTTTTTTTCAACTTTTGGTGGTTAGAAGTTCTTGGGAATGAAAAGTTTTGGTAAAGTGTTATTCGACAGAATTCAAGGTTGACAACGAAAGGATGTGCTGACTGCACCTGTCGAGTTCGTCTGACTGGTATTGCCAGTAGTGATGAAATAATAGCAGAGATTTCTGAGGAACATTTCTCGTGGAAGTGTCTATATGGAAAAGTGGAAAAGTGAAAGATCGCCGACTTTTCTACGGAGTTCTTGGACAATTCATGGTTTTTTGTTCCGAGATACAGGCACTATCCAAAAAGAGTTTCCTTATCGACGAGAATATGTTCACCAAATGAATTTTCTTGGGATCTATACGATCACAAAAAAACGGAAGGCATTTTCTAACAGAACATCCTTATCATACCCATACATGAAGTTCCAATTGAATATTTCATTCGAGGTGTTTACTTGTTAATTCTACATCAACCCATGTGTTTTAGTTGTACTTTATGCATGGGGTAACAAGTTACAATAACTATATTTGCAATAGTAGTCGTAGTAGTAGTATAAGTATTTCCTTGGTATGTATATATGTAACTTTCAATTGGCCATCGTTCTTACGAGAGGTCCTTCACTTCATGTGTGTTCTGTGTAGGCTTTGTTAGTAACTCCATACGCCTCCTTAGGAGCGTACTGTAAAGTGGAAGGCAATAGCGAATCGTGCGGAATCATATCCGGTCGAGGCTGAGAGAATTAGAATTTATAACCCGTTTTATAAATAAACGGCTCTGCTCCGCCGGGGATCCGAATCTAGCAACATTTGGATGTTCTGATTACTAGTCGATAGCCTCATCCACTGCGCTATTTTGCCGTCTCTTGTAATAGTTTATTTCTGTTCGCACTTCTTGCACTTTTTCAGCAACAAACAATATCAATGATATTCGATCTATCGATTCAAAAATATCATGTGAATATATCTTCATACTTTCTCTGTCAGATCCCTTTTTTAATGTTGTCTTCCGAAGGCTCTCCAGTTCTTTCATCAACAGCAGTTGCAAATAATTGACAACTATAACATTGGGAAAAAATCAGGAATGGTTGTAGTGAAGATCTGACACATAACCAAAATACTGATGATTTCTACAATTTGTCGAAAGAGACAACACATTTCCAACAGTATATTCCAAAAGTGAAGTTTCACTTACTTGAATTAGAACCGCGTTCTTGTTGGGGTTCTAATTGGATAAATTAGAGAGAATGTCATCGAGAAGTACTCTCAATGAATTCCAGAAATACACCGGAACTCCAATCTTCCACTACTGAATTATGTTTTCGTGAGCGAGCTTTCTCTTCAACTCACCAGATAAGAAGAATACAGTTTACAAGCACCCTCTTTGTCTAACAAACTTGACCAAGTGATCTGATGTTTCGTGGAAAAAAAATACGTTTTTTATGTTTCTCAAGTTCAACCAGGGTTGGATACAGGTTGCTGATTGAGGAGAAGTGCGATAGAGAGTTGAAGTCACTTATTTACCATAAATAGCAAAAAGGTAACCCACTGCTACTCCACTAGAATCATTAGTTCGAATCTGATTACACCAAAAGAAGCTTCTTGATTTTGTTAACAAAATCATCTACTTCCATTGAAATTGGTAAACAGGATTTTGAGTATTTCGTAAAAAAAATATTTTTTATTGGAACGTTGAGATTGAAAACGGAGTATATCTTGACCTATAGTATGTTTATATGAACTTGTCGTCTCAGGATCAACCAAATAATCACACCAAGAAGTTTAGCCACCCTGTATTCTTCAAAAAATATATAAACGCCTCGTTTCTTGAAGACGGAACCACTGACTTTTTCCGGTCCCAATCTGGAACACTTTGAATTCAATTATGATGATCATTCATCAAGGAAAACCTCTTGGAGTCCATGTATGGTTCCGGCAACAATATAAACACCCACACTATATGTGCTGATGCGCCACCGAGACCGATCAGGATGAGACCTTGAAACTTCGATTAAATCTCCAATCTAGCCAACTCCAATTATTTTTCCCCGAAGTTCGGCACGAAGTACAAACTCATTTTTTTCTTTCTAGATGACGACAGTGGAGAGAAATCCGTATCAGTGTTATTGGCTGGCGAGGAATCGGAATTGTGCTTCATAGATTTCGCCACAGCAGATCTATCGGTTAGTATTACCATGAGCAGCAATTACAACTAAAAAATTTTATTTTGATACCTTTCCAAGTTCAAATTCAGCCTAACCTATTTCAAATTAGAATTATGCAATCCAACCGAGGTTAGAATCATGGCGCCTGGTTGGCACTATATATGAAATCATTTTTATTCAATTCAATTAAATTTATTGATGGCATTGTACAACATAGATATCATATGATTTCGTTTGTGAAGTTTTTACATATAATTTCTATTTGTAAAATTCGTATGGTATATTGAGGCAAAGAGGCGAAGAGGAGAGAGATAAATTCGATTGTAAAATATGGAAGACTAAAACACAACTTGGCTAGTTCGCAGAGAGAGTACCATGGTTATCTATAATGCCTTGCACTTTTTTCATGAATGTGTTTTTATCATCAGAGCATTCGAACGACTCACGGTAATAGTGAAGACGTCTGTGTCAAGTACATTGGAATACTTGTTCAGGAGAGAACAACAATTGTCAATTATATTTGGCCTGCTAGGGACCGAGAATAAGATTTTTTTGGTCTCAAATCTCGAGACGGGACCATGAATTTGATTTAAGAAAGGAGATATGGACTAATCATCTAAAAAAATCTGGAATAATGAATCTACCACCTCTTCGAAAAACCTACAGACAGTATTATTATCATTATTAATTTCATTGTTTTCATTTCTTTTAATGTCATCTTATTATAATATTTTCAAACTTAATGATATTTCAGCCGAACAGTCTGATCTACAAATATTCAGACCCACACGCATATTGCGTAGTGTATAGCAGCGCAGACAGGTCCAGCCTGGAGATAGCAGAAAAAATCCTGCAAAATTTATGGACCTTGGACACCATCAGTACCAAGGCGGTGATCCTCGTGGCGAATAAGGCTGATTTAGTGAGATCGCGGGTCGTGACGACTGAAGGTTAGTATCATTAGCCAAATATTAAAATTGAATTAGAAAAATGGGTAAAACTGCATTTATCATGCAATGGGTTCTTTTTTCGAAAAATGTTTTGGTAATCACGTATTTTTGTCTGAAAAACACGAATTTGATAATGAAAATGTGAACAAACTACTATTTATCGAGATATTACAATCGCTATCCTCGTGGGGGAATTGTGTTGTGTATTGTGCTTACCTGTCCAAGAGTTAGGTTCTTAGACGTTTGTGTCTCTCCCGACAGCTCCACTTTAGACGCTTGACAATAAAATTCAATTGGCCATTTTTATTTGAGACAACGAAAAAATTGAACTGCACTAAATGCTTCCCTTGTTGTGGTCATCAGTTCGCTACATCCGATATTTTGAGGAGACTTCCCTGTATAAAATCAGCCAGAGCACAGCCTATCTTTATCGATGTCTAAGTTGGCTGTGATATCGATTCAGCAATATAATTACGTAGGTATACGATGATGAATTAGACGTTTTCGATTAAAACTTTATCGATAACCCGTCCATTTACAAGAAACTCTGATTCATAAAAGCTATTTACATAAGGAGTTTCTAAATGAGTATGTTTTTGCACTATATATAATCGTGAATAGTGAAAGACAAGCTTTGAGCAAATAACAATGGGTATACATAGGTAGTAAAGTGAGGCATTGAGTGGGAGAACAAAATGTGTTTACGTTCTTTGCCTTTTGACATAAACACCTTCATTATAGTACTATCATATACAGGGTGTTTCAAAAAAACCTGACCCCCTAACTAGGGTAGGTAGAACACTGCAAAATAAGTTGGGTTTACTTAGTAAGAAAATTTCGTAACGGCATCCGTTATCAAGATACAAGGTGTTGAAAAAATATTTTTTTCACACATTTTTCAAGATTTTGACGAAACTACTGGCAACATTATGATGAAATTTTGTATGGATGTTTCTTGGAATCTGACACATCGCATGCATTCGTTTTTATATCTGACTCTCATAGAGGGCACTAGTTACACGGTTCATACCAAGTAGTTTTGAACATAACTTTTTTGAGGTTAGATTTTTCGATCCAAATTTGATGTGAACTTAGACATCATTCAATTTAAAACCAAAAAGGTACTCTTGGTAAAACTCGATACTGTGTACCGTTTTCAGAATATTTCGATTTGAAAATGATGAAGTAATAACTGTTGCTGGTATAAAGCTATGTATTATAGTGAGTATTATGAAAAATTATCACCTATTTATTGAAAACCGAAAACAAGAATACATTTCTGATGCTAAACTTATTGATTTAACAATGAATCACAAGAATAACATGGAAACAGATTTGACTAAGAACATGGATTACACTGTTTTCTTGTATCTTGAGCAGAAAGTTTATGCTACATAGGTAAATTCACGTCAAGAGTTGTAAGACATAATTGTACATCACTCAAATGACCTAACAGCTGATTCTCAACTGTTTAAAAGAATAATACATTCTCAAGAAAAAAAATTAGAATCGGGTATTCGTCGAAACGTAGGACATTTTGAACACTTACATTAACTAACATTTTATACCAGCATCAGCTATTGCTCCATTATTTTCAAATCGAAATATTCCGAAAACGGAACATTGTATCGAGTTTCACCAAGAGTACCTTTTTGATGTAAAATTGAATGATGTTCAAGTTCATATCATATTTGGATTGAAAAATCTAACCTCAAAAAAGTTATGATCTAAACTACTCGGTACGAAACGTGTAACTCGCACCCTCTATGAAAGTCAGATATAAAAACAAATTCATGCGATGTGTCAGATTTCAAGGAACACTCATACAAAATTTCATCACAATGTTGCCAGTAGTTTCGACATAATCGTGAAAAATGTGTACAAAAATAATTTTTTCAACACCTTGTACCTTGAAAACAGATGCCGTTACGACATTTTTTCACTGAGCAAACCCAACTTATTTTGATCTACCTACCCTAGCGAGGGGGTCAGGTTTTTTGAAACACCCTGTATGTATATTAAATGAATATGTGTTTTATGGTTATCTTTAGGAAAGATTTGATTGTTTGTTTGTATTGGATAGGCTCCGAAACCACTGGACCGATTTGAAAAATTATTCCACCATTATCTGAAGTACAGAGGCTACTTTTTACCTCAAAAAAGCTTCATTCTTTCAAGAACACGAGTAATAGAACAACGGGTAATAAGAATTATCCTTCCGTACTTATCTTTTTCACATAACTTCTAAAAACGGCTGAACCGATTGGGTTGAAATTTCATATATGGGTATTCCGATGGTCTCCTGGATGATTTGAAAATACAATTGGCCAAGGTAGGTGGCGTTGCTGTCGGTAAATCAATTACTAAACGGCTTGGCCGTTTCACAAATGACCTCAGCAGAATTCATTCCGAACTAAATTTTATGCCTTTGGAAAAAATAGGAAATACGTAGATATTTTATATGATAGTTCATCATAAAATACAATGAGAAATGAAAATCCTAATGTGAGGAAACTTCTCAAACACACTTAGAATTCATTTTGTCTTTTGTGGGAATCGAAGTCGCTTTGGACCATTCGAGAAAGTTTCAATTTGAGGAATCTGCTCCAATATTTGTCTTCTCTAAGTGCTGACAGTGCCGTGTTCGTATGAAAGAGAATGTAACTATTAACAAATATGAATCAGAAGTCACAAAAGTGTCACACACGTAGAAAACAGCTTGGCATTCTTTGTGTGTTTCAAACAATGTTCTGTTGACTGTTCTATTTCCACTCATAGCGAGACTGTTTGCAATACTCCTCGCTATTACAGACATCTTTTCCACCAAGTATTATTTCGTCTGGACAGGAAATGGAAGAGAAGCCGTTTGTCTCGGAAAGTAGATAATTGAAGGCAGTATTTTTACCAGTCGCGGGTATATATGCTGTTGGCCTCCGGGCTTGTTTACAAGCTGTAAAGATCATTTAGTTTTTCAGGAAATTAGCTTTCATGGAAAAGGATCGGGATTGTCCATGGGATAGTCCTCATTCCGGTGAATGCCATTTATATCCTCCTTTCATTCCCCTACTGCGACCAACGATTAAAGTATAAATAACCATCATCGTCGTACTCTGTCGATTTCAGAACCTGTGACTCATCAGCATTCGATATCCGGTGTTCCAGGAGCATGAACTTCTTTGATATTACTTTCCAATTTTCTGTTGGGGGAAATTTTCTTTGATATCTATTGATCAATACAGTGAATTTAACTCTATCATCCAATTCCTTTGTAAATGTAAACTTTCGCTTACTTTCGAACGTAAGTCTATACTGGATAAATATTCGACTCATGAATGTAAGAAACTTTGTAATTTCTGCTTTAGAAACCCCACGTTTGTCCGTTGAATCGGCCCTGAACTAAATCATACTTTTAATTAGGAGTCAGAGAGGAGTTCAAAAGGAAATTTATTGAATGAAACGTGAAATGTGTCTAAACGCTTGGTGAGAATGTTCCGCATTGCAGGGTTTCATAGGGAATTTTCCGCAATTATTATGTGATTGCTCTTCAAAATGAGGTTTTATGTCTATAATTGATTTTGTTCCAATGAATCTCTCGAACAGGGTGGCTTGGAATGTATGTTTGTAGAAAAGGTTTCGGCAACTGAAACTGTTGGATTCTGTCCAAAGAAGGCAATTCGTCTCGTAGGTGATGCCTCGCTCACAAACTCACTCCCTCTTCTGGAATATCAATAACTAAATTAACCCGTCGAGTTGAGGCTTCGCACCCCTTCGTGGTCACTTTGGAGACCTGCAGAACATATCTTTCCAAAAACTCGTTCATCCAACGAACAGCGAGGTTCTGGAACAAATTGCCAAGGGAGGCAAGTAGACATCCTGATTCGGAAATCATTTTTTCTCTACTTCTTCCTTATTTTGGCACTGTATAGCAACACAAATTGCCTCCCAAGCATCGTTTTTTGTTTCCCTGCACTTAGGTATATTTCACGTCGGAACATCTCGACAAACACTGATACTGTTTGTAATTATCAATTAAATTGATACAATTTTCCGTTCCGTTGTAATCATCAATTAAATTGATACAATTTTCCGTTCTCCACTTAAACGCCATTTTTTCAATAATAAACAACGTGCAACTTCATGTTGCAATCTCTTGCGAAAATCCGTCAAAAACAACTACAACTTGTGTTTAGTTGCTGAATGTCTGCGTGTGTTTCACATTTTCCTTCGATCTTTACCGCTCCAAACCGAAACAAACAACAAACGTCAACATCTTGTTTACCATGACATGAACAATATGCAACATAGTAAAACAAATAACAACATGATGCAACATAGTGTGACTAAACATGTTGTTGTTGCAGTAAGTTGAACTATGTTGCTTTGATTTGCTTTGGTGGAGACATATCTTAACACCATCTTGAACACAAAATGAAGTAGTAATGAGAATGTGTAATTTGTATTGTTACATCTAGTCAAATATAGAGTTATAAAATTTCGAATATCAGCTCTGTATAGTGTATATAATCAAGGGTGCGTTACTCTTGTTTTGAGCCATATCCCTCAAACAACGATCGAAAAGCACGGTAAAGCTTCACGTGGAGAACAAAAGGATATTGAAGCTTTAAGCGAAAGCCGCAATCGAGGATCGAGGTCAATATCCGTTCTAGACTAATCAGATATCGTGCGATCCACCCAACCGCTGATCTCCTAATCTCTGGCAGTAGTCCGGTCGGTCGACGAAAGATTTTTATATTGAAATTCAGAGCCAGAAATCAACAGTTGCTAGATAAAATAATTCAATTTGATACTGCATGTTTTTTTCATTGGAAAAAAACGAAATCTACTGTTATCGGTCTCCTGAATCATTATAGTAGGTATATTAATTCTAATCATAGAAATTTGTAAAATATTTTTTTTTCCACCACTAGCTATAAAACCTACTATTATCTTCTCCTTTTCGAGGCGTGAAATGTGTTTTTATCACCAAGGTAGTTTTCGTCACATTATGAAGTCAATACCAGAAAGGAACTGAGGTAGAGGATTGTTACAGCTTCAGATATGATTAGAAGTAATAGGTGAATTATTCGAAAAACCATTAGATATCTTCCGAAGATATACAGAAAATATATAGAAATTGGGGGAGGGCATTTTGAGAATCTTCGTTGAAAAATATTAGGATGCTTTGTTACTCTTTCCAAAAACCAAGTCGGTCATGTATATTTTTCCATAACACCTTTTCTCAACTCTGCTGCTAAGTATATCAATATGCAAAGAAATTGATTCGAATACTTTTTGTCGAATGTAGAGAGTATAATGGCCCGGACGAAATCGAAGAAATATTCATCTGAATTTTGTTTGATATTTCTTCATCAATCCGATCGAAGTGCGCCGTATTCAAATAGGAAAGCTACATTGCACTTGTAGTGTTTTTCCTGATCTCTGATACTGATGAAAGTTTTAAAAAAATTCAAGTCCGGCTCTGGAATATTTCTTTCATAGTAGGTCATCGTCTGGTTTGTCAGTGGAGGTGAATTGCTGGTGAATTTTAAGCGAAAACAACGATACTTTCCTGAAATATCGTTCATCAAAGTTTCGCCCTGAAATCAAATAATGCCCTGTATTTCTGTTCAGAATAGACAGAATAGGTATATTTTTTCACATGTATAACAACTCACCTTGACTATATACCTTTATCCGCCCTTGGGCTATGGCTGGTTAGTAATGACTCACCCTGTGTACTAATAGGTGAGGTCAATGCCAAAGTCCAAAATCCCAAAATTTTGCCAGATAGCCCTAAAGGATGTTTTCTGTTTTATCGAGGATATTCGGAAAAAAGAAGTAGAATATTTGAACAAACAGCAAACCTCAAGTTACGGAAAGACTTAGGCAGACCATAGATCTAAAGCAGACTTAGTTTTTTAGTAGATATCAATGTGGATCTTTACGACCAAATCCTACATTGACGCAAAAGAAGAGGACAATTGACAAAAAAAAGAAGAAGTATATTTATCACTTGTACCATAGATTAACGACTAACGGGAAGTCGTTAATCTATGCTTTACCACAGTGGAGAGCTTTACCAACTCTGACTTCACGTCTCAGCCAAACCTGAATCTCTTATAGTTTCCAAGATAACCATACTGGATACTGGCCCTCCTCATCTGGGTCTGGAGTCTTGGACTCAGCAGGAAACAATATACATTGCAAGAGGTTGAACATGAACATTCAACAAATTGAATTAGCATTTCGTTCGATATTTCGAAAAAATGTCGTATATCCGGTTATATCAACATTATCATTCGTATTTTGCAGAAGGCAAATCGATGGCCACATCCTACGACTGCAAGTACATAGAGACATCTGTCGGCATCAACCACAACGTCGACGAACTGCTAGTCGGCGTCCTCACCCAGATCCGCCTCAAGCTGGAGAACCCGGAGCGCAGCAGGGACCTGTTCCGCAAGCGCAGCACCTCCAAGAAGAACCTGAACAGGAACCGGAGTCCTGCCAGCGGCGCGGCGACACCTACTGGTAGCTGCACCAACTCGCCGAAAAAGTACAGAGGGTCGCGCACCTCCGCCAGCTTGAAAGTTAGAAGTCTGCTGGGCAAGGTTTGGGCGCGCGATAGCAAGTCCAAGTCGTGCGAGAATCTGCACGTTTTGTAAATATTGTGATAAGAGGAGAGATAAAATATGATAGATGGCGGGTGAGATGTTTATAATTAATATGGTGTTTGAACTGATGCGCTTTTGTTTTGCCCAAACAAGACGACAATAAACATTCGAAAATATATGGTTCTTGGTACATCTGATTCTGATAGATGTCGCTGTACGAATTCTCATCAAAATGGAAATAGAAACTCAATTATCAGAATTATATCAAACACTGTCAAAAATGAA